ATAAATTTGGCTTTGGGAACTTCTTCATAAACTGGCTAGAAACATTATACAGTTCACCAACAGCACGTGTCAGGACGAATGACCAAATATCAGCTAGCTTCTGTCTTCAGAGGGGGACCAGGCAGGGCTGCCCACTCTCCCCCTCACTTTTTGCTATCTTTATCGAAACACTAGCAGCAGCAATTAGGCAAACAACAGATATTAAAGGGATAAAGTGTAAGAAAATAGAACATAAGATCAGTCTTTATGCAGATGATGTTTTACTCTTTCTCCAGAATTCTCAATCCTCTCTCTCCCAAGCAATAGAACTGATAAACTCTTTTTCAAGAGTTTCAGATTACTCTATAAACTGGTTAAAATCCACAGTTCTACCAATTAATTTCTCATTTGTCAATTTACTTAATACACAATTTGAGTCAGGGAATATCACATACCTGGGAATTAATATATCTCCCAAGTTAGCAGATCTAACCAAACTAAACTACATCCCACTTTTAAGGAAAGTGGAAGATGATCTTGCAAGATGGAAATCCTTACCAATATCACTCATGGGGAGAGTGGCTACAATTAAAATGATGGTCTTACCCAGAATAAATTACTTATTCTCGATGATTCCAAACAAACCACCAGCTGACTGGTTTAAATCTCTGGACTCCTCAATTACTAAATTCCTTTGGCAGGATAAGCCTCCACGAATTAGCTTAAAAACGCTTCAGAAGACCAAAGACAGAGGAGGACTTGATTTACCCAACTTTTATTGTTATTTCTTAGCCAGCAGGCTGCAATATATACCAAGATGGTTGCAAGATAACCCATTAGACGAGTCCTGGTTAGATATAGAACAGACACTTTGCAATACGATAGAGCTTTCAGACTTACCATTTATTAGCTCAAGCATAAGAAAACATGAAGGCTTCAAAAGTATTAGTATCATCACCTCTCTGACAGCATGGTGGGAGTATCTTAAAATGACAGAGTCTTCACTAGTACCATGCAGACGCACACCTATCTGGAACAATCCTGACATTTTGCAAAACAACAAAATGAAGAACCTTCCGGACTGGAAAAATAAAGGAATCCTATACCTGGAACACATATATGAAGGATTGGACTTCATCCCATTTAATCAAATAGTCTCCCAATTTGGAATGGATAAGAATAGCTTTTTAGAATATCACCAAATTAAATCTGTAGTCAAACAAAAATTTAAGCTCAATAAAATAGAATTACAAACACCACCAAGGGTATTAGACTTTTATAATCTCAACCCCCCCAAACTACTGTCTAAAGTATATAAGACACTGTCCAAAATAGACGATAAAATTGCAATCCCTATTGAAAAATGGGAGGTGGATCTATCAGTTAGCTTTGACCAGGACTTCTGGTCCCAAACTTGTTTAAAAACTTTTAAAATGATCAGACACCCCAATTTGCAATTAATTCAGTACAAAATTCTACACAGAGTACACTATACAGGTCATCGGATGTTCAAGATGGGGTTTGTGTCATCTGACACCTGTACACACTGCACAAACAACATTCCTGGCAATTACATTCATGCACTGTGGTCCTGCCCACCTGTCCAGGAATTTTGGGGTAGAGTATGTGAGGATCTGTGAAAATGTCTGAAATATCATATCCCAACTTCCCCCTCTCTTTGTTTACTGGGGAAGCTTTTGTTAGATCATATTGCACTTGATATAGCCTCTGCTTTCACTTCAGATGAATCTCTCTGGGCTCCTTTGATCGGTTCCATCACATAGCGAGGGAGGGGGGCCGTTGATGTTGTCCTGCGGGATGGTGTGGGTGTGGAGGTGTGGGGTCTGAGTTTGGAGTATCTGGATGTTCCCTGGAGGTGGGTTCACTGGGGGTGTCTGGGACTGGGGGACCGTTGCCCCCTCTGGAGGTGCTTGGGTTGCCTCGGGGGGTGGACTGCTGGCGTTTGTGAGTGGGGCCTCTTGGGGATCTTGGCGGCCACCATGGGACACTGCCTGGAGGCTGCAATGCCCCTGGGCGGGTCTGGGTGGGGGCCTGGGGGCTCGGGGTTTGGGGGTGGCCGGCCCCGTGTGGGGATCTGGGCGGGGCCTTGGGGGTCGGGTCCTGACATGTATGCTGCCGGGAAGAAGGCAGGGACACCCAGCAGTGCCTGGCCCAGGTTCGGGGGCCTCAGGTAGACCTTGGCTCCTCTGCCGTTCCATCAAAGGGGAGGGGGAGGTCCAGGAGGGGGAGGACCCAACCTTACCTGGATGTCCCATGTCTTATATATTCTGGAAGTTGTGCAAATGCAGGGGTGGGCATAGATATTCTGCTGGGGTGGAGCTGGGTTGGTGCCCTTGGACTCCGTGAGGCTCTGTAATGCTGCTGCTTTGGGCCCTGGCAGGATGGGCTGGAGTCTCCATGCCCTGGGTGGCAGTTTGACAACAGAGGTGCCTATTGGGGCCAGTAGGGGAGCTGGCTCCCTGGAGGGCTAAGCCCAACCAGCCATTCCTCCCCATCCCCGCATATTTCTCTCCTCCTGCTCCCTCACATCATCACACAAACATACACATAGGACCTTCGGGGGTGGGCAAGTCAGGGAGTGCGGGTATGGACCCCATTTCCGCATTCCTGTGGAAACCTGCCCCCCAATTTTATTTGCACCTTATAAACTTCCACTGATGACATTCCACACAAACACACACTTAGGGCCTTGGGAGTGAGCACATTCAACGGCATTTGGCAGGGGGATATTTCAGCCTTCTCCCGAGTGCCGGTGCCCACTTCCAATTTTAAACCGCACTTAAACACTGATGGCTGAGGGTGTAAGTGGGGTGGTGCGGTGGCATCAGCTGGCATATGCTGGATGATGCCCGCACTGCCCACTCACCACAGCCATGGAATACACCTCATGATCACACAACACTATATTGGAGCAGGCGGAGGGAGACTAGGGGTCTTAGCCACCTCTGTTGTTGCTAGGCTTCCTGGGGCTGGAGACTAGGAGGGAGATCTGGCCATCTGGTTGGGGTCTGGGGTGGTGGGTTGCTGTGCTCAGCGTTGGGCGGGGGAGCCTGCTCATCAGCACCCCAGCAGAAAGGGTCAAACTCTGGTTACCGGTGATGGTTGTACCCAATGTGCAGCAGTACCGGGACCAGAGTGAATAGGGTGTGTATGGGGAGCATGAGTGGGTGTCCGTCGTGCATTTTTGTAAGTCTTGGGTTGTATGTGCATGTGTGAGCATGAGGGAGGGAGTGTGTGACTGTATATGTCAGGTGGGGCCTTTGGGTCCTCCCCTCTCCTGGAACTTCTCTTGATGATATAGATCTCTGTCCACACTCCCCCTGCCACACCTGGTGTGGGGGCTTGTGCCTTGGTCTGCCTGAGTGTTCGTGGCAACCGGGTCTGGGGGTTTAAAGATTTTGGCATCTGCCTGTTAGATCCCGGTGGTTGCCTGGTGGGGTCTGGGTCCCTGGGCTCTGCTGGGTCCCCGGCGGGGGTGGTCGCCCCTGGGTCCCGGGTCGCTGGGTCCCGGGCTCGGCCGGCTAGGGGGTGGGAGGCTGCGGGCGGGCCTGTGGGCTTGCCGCTGATATCTCCGGGGACTCTGCCGGCTGCTGGTTGTGGCCCCCTGGGGCGATCCTCTGTGCCACTCGAGGGGGGCGGGGGCCTTCCTGGTTGCAGTCTCCTTGGGGTTCCTGCGTTCTGGGGCAGCGCCTGGATCTCTGGGACTTGGAGCTCCCCCCGTCTCCTGCGCATCTTTGGGGGGCAGATCTGTGGTCCCTCACACTCTCTGTTGGGCACTCCTATAGAAAAACCTTAAATAAACAAGCGCGTGTACACACACAGGTGCTCACATGGTGCTCTCAAAAGTATGGGCTTGGGCACGTTAAACACAGGTCTTAAGACTATGGTGGGCACTTAATGCGTTGTGATTTATTATCGTGATTCTTCAGTCAAGCAATGTTGATTATATATACATATATTTTTTTTCTTTTCATCAAGTTGACGCAGTGATAGGTAGATCTTGTTGTATTGTTGTTGTGTCCCTTTTTTGTGTCCCTATGTTTTTTTTTTTGTCTTTTTTCTGCAGGTCTAGAAGCAGACTCTTGTTCATTATTGTTTATTTTTGTGGACCCCCCCCCCCCCCCTCCCCACCTTTTCTTTTCCTTTCTCTTTCACCTCTGTCTCCGTGTCTGGTCGGAATTACAAAGCATTCAACAACAATAACAATAAAGTTTTAAGTATCAGGCGTGACATTAAAAGCAAACGCTTTGATGCTCCACCTGAGAATAAATCTGTAAGGCTTGTCACCAGCATTCAGACATCAATTCTGCTTGCTTCACAGCCAGACAGGACACGGTAAAAAAAAAAAAAAAAAAAAAAAAAAAGGATGTCAGAGGCCATCTGAGCCAAATCCTTTTCTGTAGTGGATCACGCTTTGTGCATGCAAAGTCTTCACGTGGGAGAAGGTCAACATCTACATCTACAAATGGCCTTGATTACTTCCTGAATTGTCTGACTTCCTCTCTGCACTGTACAGCACAGCTCCTAAACACAAACTGAACAATGTGGTGTATGCTGTACAGTGCAGTGAGGAATGCCCAGACCTCTACATTAGAGAAACCAAACAGCCACTTCACAAGCGCATGGCACAACATAGAAGAGCCACCTCCACGGGACAGGACTCAGCAGTTCATTTGCATCTAAAGGACAAAGGTCCCTCTTTCGAGGATGCCAACGTTCACATTTTGGACAGAGAGGACAGATGGTTTGAAAGAGGGGTAAAGGGATCCATTTATGTCCACTGTGAGCAACCATCTTTGAACAGAGGTGGTGGTTTACGACACCAACTCTCTGCCATCTATAATCCAGTTTTGAGATCCCTTCCCAGATGCCTCAACGCCCATGCATATCCTGGGCCATCTGACCTCAGGAATTCACATGATAGGGTGGGGCCAGGCTTCACAATGAGCTCACCCGAAACTCTGGCTGAATAGGAACCACACCCACCCCCACACCTTGGCTAGTGTGTTTATGTAGAAGATCATCAGGGGGACTTTTGTTCCCTCTTCTTTGGGAAACTCTCACTGGGTTTCAATCTGGGACTCTCCACCATTTGACCTTAGAACTGAAGAAGCCTCTCAGATGAGAGGTGAAACGTCTTCAAGCAACTCAAAGAAGTCCAGATGCTTTTCTTTCAAAGCTCCTTAGAATGCCATTCAAAAGAAATTTGCCTCTGGCCAATATCTTTAACATCGATGCTGGTGTGTGTATTTTGTCACAGCTATTTTGTGTGTTTGACTCTGTTGGTGAGCGGTACATTTCCTGCTTTTAAATCCTGTAGCCACAAAATGATCAGCATTATCCTTGCGTTTCTATGAGGTTCCAAATGTGCCAAAAATATTAGTCCATGCCTTTGTCTAGTTCATATGTTCACTAGTGATGTGTCGGTCGCGAACGAACCGGCTCTAAGAGCTATGAAGTGAACGACGGGAGCCGGCTCGTCAATGGGACAGAATGCGACTCAGCTTTGCAATGTTCCTGAGATGGAAAAAGGAAGAGCGAACAAGAGAACTGACAGGAGAAACCAGGGTGAGAGCTGGGTTAAAGGTCACACCAAGATTCCTGACAGAAGGTTTGGTGTGAGAAGCAAGCTGACCAAGAGAGTCTCTGACTTTTGGAACCAGCTTGTCTGGGGCACAGATGAGGATCTCAGGCTTCATTCAGATGAAGAAAGCTCCCAGCCATCCAGGTTTTAATAGAGTCTACGCAGGTATGTAACAGCTGCAGCTTAGACATCTCATGGGGCTTAAAGGAGATGTACAGTTCGATGTCATCTGCATAAATATGGTAGGAGATTCATTTAAAGGAGCTCAGGATTTGCTGAAGAGGATGCAGATAGAGGAGGAAGAGCAGAGGCCCTGGAACAGAACCTTGTTGGACACCATGGGTAAGGGAGGTGGTGGAGGACATAAACTTGGAGACGGCCACAGAAAAGGAGTGCTCAGAAAGATAAGAGGAGAACCACTCCAGAGCAGTTCCTGATAGGCCTACCCAGTCTCTCAGCCTCTCCAGTAGCAGGTGATGGTCAACAGTGTCAATGGCCGCAGTCAGGTCCAGCAGGACCAGAACAGAACAGTCCCCTGCATCACTGTGAGTCAGAAGGTCTTTAGAGACCCTAAGAAGATCTGTTTCAGTAGAATGAGCTTAACGAAAACCTGACTGGAAGCTATTATAGATGTTATGTTCATTAAGAGCAGCTGTGAGTTGTTTAGCCACAGCCTTTTCCAAGATCTTGGAGATGAAAGGAAGTTTAGAGATGGGTCTGAAGCTGCTACGGAGAGAGGGGTCAAGACTCGTTTTTTTAAGAAGCGGATGGATTACAATGTTCTTAAAGTAAGCAGGAACCTGACCAGAGACTAGAGAAGAATTAATTATAGAGAGCACGCTGGGACCAATGGACTGAAAAGCACTTTTAAACAAAGATGAGTGTAAGATATCGAGGGGGCATGCAGAGGTCTTCATAGAGATAACTAGTTTGTTAACTCAGGCAAAGAAACAGGAGCAAAGCTATCTAGGATGACGGGCTGGGTTGGAGTTGGAAGAGGCAGAGATAAGGCTGAAGGAGAGATGCTAGATCTAACCTTGTTGACTTTGTCCACAAAGAAAGACAAAAAGTTTTCACAGTCTGCAACAGAGTGGAAGGAGGCCATAGGAGAGGCTGGAGAAATAGGCAACCCTTGCGTCTCTGACTGCAGAGTTAAAGGATGTCAGAAGATCCTTTAGATGCAGCAGATGGACGTGGAGACGGGTTTTGTTCCAAAAGCGTTCAATGTTTCTGCATCGGCGCTTCAGTCTGCAAAGGCTGTCATTAAACCAGGGATTAGGGTTCACTGCAGGAACTAATCTGGTTCTGACAGGACAGGTGTTGTCCAGAATGGAGAGGCAGTGCTCGAAGTTAAGGAATCTGGGTCGTTATCAGAAGAACAGAGTGGGTCAAAAGCACCAGAAAATTTGCTAGCTGTGCTGTTATTAAGAAAACATGAACTAACCAGACGGCAAGCAGGAGGTGGGGATGCAGAAACTGACAAGTTAAAGAAAATGCAGAGGTGATCAGAAATATAAACGTCCTCAGGACAAACACTGTCAGCATTTAGACTCAGGGTAAAAACAAGGTCTAGAGTGTGTCCCTTGGTGTGTATGGGGCCAGAAACATGCTGGGTAAAGCTGAAGCAGTCGATAAGGCTGGAGAAATTCATGGCAAAGTGATCAGAGGCATCGTCAACATGAATGTTAAAATCACCAACAATCACCAGTCTGGACAGCTTCACAGTGGAGGATAGAAAGTCACTAAACTCCTGAAGGAAAGAACTGTTTGGACCAGGTGGTTGATAAACTACAGCACAGTAGAACGGGTCCTTACGCCCGACTTTAATCAGCTGCAGTTCAAAGGAAGCAAAGTGACCAGAGGTTGTAGAGCTACATGGAAGATGGTCTCTGAAAACAACAGCTAGGCCTCCACCACGACCAGAACCCCGAGGCTGGCTAAGAAAAGAATAATCACTCGGGCAAAGTTCAATCAGAGCAGAATAATCAGATGTTTGCTGCCAAACTTCAGTCAGAAACAGAAAATCCAGGTTTTAAGAGAGAATTAGATCATTGAGCAGGAAGGACTTATTGTTAACAAAGCGGGTATTTAATAGAGCCATTCTGAGTGAGGAGGAATCAGAAACTACAGAAACAGCTGGAGTTAGTGGACATAAATTAGCAGGGTTAGATCCACGGTGTTTATAAATACCACTTATGGAGGGAACAGGAGGGGAAACCAGTGAAGAATGAGGATAAACAGACCTTAAAAAACTTGGACAGAGAGACCGCGCCGCAACGTGGCCGGGTGGGAATGCAGAAGTGGCGCTCAGGTCATCAAACAAAGGACACGAAGCTAGAAGATCACGCCGATGTTTACCAGATAAACCATGCTTTAAGAGAAGTGTTATTCCCACCTGGATTCCTGCTCGTTTACCTCTTTTGCTCCGACGTTTTCCTGGGACTGGATAAACATTGCTGGAGGTGTCCTGGTAGGAATCATCGTTTAGTTCCGGGCCAGCGTGCCGCTCAGGTAAACAAACAGGGAGGTACATCCTTGGTGCATCTTGGACGATCGTGAACGAACGGAAGGACAAACGAGTCTGGCGATCATAGGAGATGGTGGCAGGGACACTACCAAAGAGGATCGCAGACAGAAGCAAGGTGGAAAAGAGGAGGTTAGTGGGTAAAATTTTGAGAAAGTGGCCGGTGCACAGGTGTTATCTTGTTACCGACCTCACCAGAGATGAGATAACATGGCCAACAGCTAACAGCTTGACAACCGGCTCTAATGACAGAACAAGGGTACATCAGGTAACATCACGCAACAACATCAGGTAGGACATGGTGTCGTTACTTGAAGTTGTTACTTGGACAATATTTAGACTGGAGCCATGTGCAAACCTGTGTATGAGCTGTATGTTTGGGACGTCAAATGACTGCAGTGCAAAAAATAAAAATAATCATCTATGAATTACAGCTCTTTGTGCTTTGCATTTTGTTGAGGGTGTTCATGCAAAATATATTTGTTTTTCTGTCATTTACAGGGCATGCATAGTGTATAAAGAGCTTCCCATCATGCAGATCACACAAACAACCTGCTGGTCTTGATTTTTGCATCATTTCATCTCCATTGAGTTTGTTGATCTGGACCAGAAATACTGAATGTGCTGCTGAAGAGGTGGGTTAACCGATTCATTGTGCTTTTTGTTTCTTTTCGCCCATGTGTTCAATGAGGTGCAGATGAACTACATAGCATTTAATAAACAATAAAACGTAGACTGTTATGTTCCCTTTTCCAGATGTCTTCCAACTCTTCATTCTTCAACAACTCCTTTCTCGGGCAACAATTTCCCACCTTCAGCTGCTTTTCAACCAGTCTGTTTGTGTACATAGTCGGCACGTTCTGTGTCACCAAAATCCTCCTCCTCCTTCCTCTCTGCATCTTCATCCTCTGCTTTGGCGTCCAACAACTGCAGCTAAAGACCTCAACAATGAGCCACTGTGACAGCTTCACCTACCACCTAGCCAGCATGGAGATGATCGGAACTCTCGGCTGGATTGTCAGTTTTTGTGGAAGCTGCATGAAAAATCGTGCAATATTCAAGTTAGCCTCAGCTTTCTTTCCGAACCCTTGGTATGGACAAATATTCTTTCACACTTTGACCTGCATGGAGCGCTACCTGGCTGTCATTCACCCCATCACCTATGTGACCCTAAAAAATGACAAATGGATCAGAATCAGAAACCGCACCAGTGGTTGCATCTGGCTGCTTTGTATTTTTGCAAATGCATTTGTGTCGATGACTAACATCATTTATTTAGAGACTTCCTTGCTAACGTCATCCACAATAATTGTCTTCTACTGCAGCCTGGCGGTTCTCTGGGTTCTGACTCGTCCAGGTCCAGGAGAACTGGGAAACGGCAGAAAGAGGGTTGAACAATCAAAACTAAGGGCTTTCTACATCATTATTGTCTTTTTGATGATACTGATGCTGAAATTATCTTTTGGTCTGATAGCTGCTGGTTTAGAAGTGATGAGCAAGATGGATGTCTGCACAATTACAGAATTGACTGTCTGGTTCAGTCTACCTAGCAGCCTAGTTTTACCTCTGCTGTTCCTAAAAAAACGGAAATATTTGGTGTGTTGCAAGTAAATAAACAGCCAGTAGATAGTAATTGATGTCACCTAGCATGTTAACAAGCAACTGTCACTGTTAGATAAAAACTGATATTATCATTATTGAACTAATATCAATGTCTTGACTGTTAAACATTTGGTGTCTTATTAAACGTAGCTTCATTCTTTTTCATCCGGTTGATAGAAACCAGGCTCCAGTAGGTCTTACAGGGAGGAGTAGATTTAACGAGGAGGATGACCTTGCCTTGGCACTGACCTTTATCAGTAAAACTCCCTTGAGAAAGTCTAGCAATAGCTTTGTCTGATTTAGGGTGCACCTGGAGAAAGTTTAGACACCCTTTTGCAGCTTTATGCCTGAGGGTCTAAGGAATGTCCAAATCTGTGTGCGTTAATCTTTGTGTGTGCTTAATAAATGCTGTCGGAAGGCGTCAGCCTGATGAGAGTGAACTGCAACCCTTGTCTGGTGTGTATTCTTATCCTCTCCACTTTGCAAAGTCTAAATTGATTGTTTATGATTGGTATTGGTGTTGATTGACTGATTACTATAACCCCCTGTGCTTTAAACTGTCCCTAAGGTAATCTTGGATTGATAAAATTACCCAACAGTCACTTTGTTAGGTGTCCCTTATATACAGTGGGTGTTCATAATTATTACAGTTCCTCTGTATTCTCCACTGAGAAAAATATTTAAAATAATAATACATAAACAGAACTGAATGATTGAAATGATGGTTTAGCAACAAGGAATTGTTCATTTATGGCTGAGTTTGTGTTTAAAGGCACGATGTGTAAGAACTGAGTAATAGTGACATCCTGTGGTCAGATTTGGTTACTGCAATCTCGGTTTCTCTGCTGTTGCCAGTTGGGGATAGAAAACTACAGTTTGTATATTTCAACAATCATGAAATACTATCTGTGTTTTCACAATAATGAACTACTTAAAAAAACTGTATACTACACCTTACCAAGTTTATTTCTATAGCTCATTTAAAGAGTAGGACAGCTGACCTAAGTGCTGAGCAAAGATGAAACAAGGGAAAATGGACTGCCAAGTGTCTCAAATTCACCTTTTTAGTTTTTCTGTTCAACATCTGATTTGGCAAAAAACACAATTGGTTTAATCAACTTGGGTTTTGGGGCACACAGGCTTGGTGTGACCTTCCTGTCCACACAGATGGCATACTGGTGTCCCTTCACTAAACTTGGAGGTCGATTTTCCCTTGTGGGGACCTTACCCACACCTGTTGCTGCTCTCTGATGTTGAGGAGGTTGTGGACGATGCATGTTTCAAGCTGCTCTCCACGCTGTGTTACTCCGTGGCTGACTCTTGATTTGGGCTGCCACAAAGACATCCGCCAGGACAGCAGCTTCCGCCGCAGATTTTGGTTGAGGGTTAGGTTTTTTTTTTCCTCATCCCAGAGCAAAAAAGCACCGGCCGTAACAGCAGGTTTTACACTGAGCACACGTGACAACATGACAGAGTCTAGCTGGATCTGAGGAAATAAAAGTGGGTCAGAGTCAGAAACGTCGCCATTGTTTGTGTTTGGTTGCTTTCTCTAAGTGGGGATTGTTTTTGAGGCTGTGGTGAATATCTTCTTTTTTGATATATGTGTTCTAATATTGTCCTTGACATCCATCTCCTTCTGCAGCCTGTCAGTTATCTGTGTTTTGCTTCGTTCAAGTCCAGGAAAACCAGGGGGTGGCAGGGTCAGGGTAGACCAATCAAAACGAAGGGCCCTTTTATACAATGATGATCATACTTGGGGTACTTTTGTTGAAGATATCTTTTTGTCTAATTTGGATTGGTGTCGAAATGGCAGGAATAGGAATCCGATGCGTGCTGATGACGTATGGAAGCCTGCAGCCTGGTGTTACCTTTGCTTTTCCAGCAAAGAGCTGGAAAAGTTGGATGTTTCAGAAAAATAAGATCTGTTATGGAACACACTCCATGAACACATGGTTAACAGGACAATCTAATCTGGGCCTTTTTCTTTTATTTCTTAATTTTGTTTTCTTTCAGTCTTTTTCTGGTTAAATCTGACTCTCCATCCTGAGGCTGATTGAGCTGGAAGTTACTTCCTGTTAGAGTCAGCACCTCTGCAGCCTGCAGATAAATTCATATTCTAAACTGAATTAAAGATGTATTTGTTAGGTTTATGGGTTTTTGAACTACAACTCTTTAATGGCAAATCTTTCAGGATGGTACTGGGGACTGAACTTGGAGTTTTAAAGAGTATGTTCAGTAGCCCATCCTATATCTGGACTTGCAGTAGCTTATGTATGTGGCTTGTGGTAAACCTTTTTCCAAATGACCTTACAGCTCTTTAAGACTGTCCCGGACAAGCCCCCAATTTATGTCACAACCCAACTTGTAGGTGACAGTTCAAAATGAAAAGACTTTGTTTAACCCGTCCACTGTCCTAATGAGTGTTAGCCCTCAAGGAAAGTTGACCATTGAGCTGGGTTGGTGGTTTATCCTTTGGGTCCATGTGGCAGGGGTGATGAGTGAGCACCACCCTGCCACATGGACCTCAAGGGATAAACCATCAATCCTGCTCAATGGTTAACTGTCCTCGCGGGGTCACCCATAAAGATAGTGGGAGGGTTAAACAAATTAAAACCATTCCCTAAAGCAGCTAAATCAAACAGGTAACATCCAAACCACTCTGCCTCACTAAGCAAGTTTTATGTCTGTCTGTACAGGTGCTGCCAATTAGTGTTTATGTTTATGTATTTAGCAGACGCTTTTGTCCAAAGCGACTTACAAGTGATAATCGGCATTTTGCCCTTGAGGCTAACAACAATAGTAACAACAACAAATTGACATCAGTCATGGAGAGGAGGGAACAAGGAGTGGACAGTAGAGAGGAGGGATGGGTGCAGACAAGGTGCTAGTTAAGAAGATGCTCTCTGAAGAGCAGGGTCTTCAGGAGTTTCTTGAAAATAGAAAAGGAAGCCGCAGTTCTGGTAGTGCTTGGAAGGTCATTCCAAATTTGTGGAACGATGCATGAGAAAAGTCTGGATTGTCCTGAGCGTGGTGTAGGCACTGCTAGCCGACAATCCTGTGATGACCGGAGCGGCCGGGCCGAGACGTAAGACTTTGCAAGAGGATTCAGGTAGATGGGAGCCGTACCGTCTCGGACTTTGTATGCTAGTGTTAGCAATTTGAATTTGATGCGTGCTGCTAGCGGTAGCCAGTGGAGCTCAATGAATAGAGGGGTGACGTGTGCTCTTTTAGGCTGATTGAAGACCAGACGCGCTGCTGCGTTCTGGACCATTTGAAGAGGTTTCACAGTACAGCCTGGAAGACCAGTTAGAAGAGCATTGCAGTAGTCGAGGCGGGAGATGACAGTAGATTGCACCAGGAGCTGGGTGGCATGTTGTGTTAGGTATGGTCTGATCTTACGTATGTTGTACAGCGCAAAGCAGCATGAACGGGCAACAGAGGCAATCAAGTGCAATCAAGACTAACACAACCACAGCCAGTGAGGGTGTTGAGGGCTGCAATATGGTTTTTATTAGTGCCTTTTCATGTCTAATTGCTAAAAGTGTGATGTCTTTTGTGTGATACTGTTGCTATGCTCTGTTCTTGAGCTGTTGCAATTACGCAAAACACTCCCCATGGGAATGGGTCAAATGTAGAGATGTAGTTGTGAGTGATGACTAATGGGACCTGGGACGTAATTTTGGGGGGGGACGGGTGGGACATGTCCCCCCCACTTTTTCAAAAGGCAGTTTTGGTCCCCTGCATTTTTTTCCGTCCAAAAACAATGTTACGCTCCATTAAATGGATTTGGTTGAGCACTAGGACCGAAACGGAAACCGCTTTACTATTAGACCCGCCCAAAAGCTAATCTATTGGCTCTGCTGATACTTGCTAACGTATTATTGGCTGTTGCTGCTGTCACTCAAGTTGTAAACAGTCAGAACGTGCTCACGTTGTTTTGCTAGTTTGGAGCCGCTAGGGAACACCGGTACTGAGTCACATCGTCAACTAGACGCTGTGTAATATCAGAGCTCAGCTCAGCTTCCATTACATAACATTTGAATAAGTGTTCATTTGTGAGTCTTTGGTAGTTAGGCACAGCCAGGCGGCAGCATGTCAAGAAAACGAAAAGTGGATATAAGAGACTTCTTTCAAAGTCAAAACGTAAGTTGGAACATGTGACACCCCTGCATTAAGCTCAGACTCACCTCCTCCTTCACACACATACTCAAAACTAACTTTTACAAACTCATCTCCTCCACATAACTGACTCCTCAGACACAATTTATTCGTATTATTATAATTATTATTTTTTTTATTACTATTATCATCATAATTATTATTACTAGTAGTAGTAGTAGTAGAAGTGTAACTTCAAAACTTTTATCATTTAACTTTATTGTAAACTTATCTATTGCAATGTATATGTTCACATTAAAAAGCTCTGAAAAATGAACAGTATCATCATCGTCAACAGATTTTTTAAGCTTAATGTCAAAGATGTACACTTTTCATTAGATTTATCTTATTTTTTCCATTTTTTTTTTTTTGTGTGTTGAAATGCAACAACTGTTTAAACACTTTTAAGGGAAAAACATATTTAATATGTTTTTATACACTCAAATGTTAGGGTGATGATCATGTGTAAAACATTAGTTCAGCATGTCCTCTAACACAGCAAATGAACAAACGGCCAGATCTCAGGAGGGACCGTTTATGTATAAATAATTTTTATACTTTTGACTAGGCCTGGGAAAGTAACACATTTTGCTGGACGATATTTTGTCCAACAAATTGTTGATGATAAACGATATCATTGTCAACATTATCTAGACCAAAATAACCACTAATATAATGTTAATATATCATAATAATGCAAGTACACCCTTTAAAATGCAACAAAGAAACCTTCATTTAACATTGAAATGTCCAGAACCAGAACTTCTAAATGAATAAAAATAACAAACAAAAATTAAATAAAAAAGGAATCTCACTCCCTGTTAGAAAATGTTGCACCAAAAACAATAAAAAAAATACCCAAAACAATAAATACAATGGCCTATCCATTGTCAACAGCCAAAACTGCACTTCAATAATGATAATAAATAAAAATAATAATAGAGTTGTAAATTTTTTAACTTTGATATATATATATATATATATATATATATATATATATATATATATATATATATATATATATATATTGAGGATGGAAAAATTATTGAGATGGGCACATGACGTGTCAAGGGGTCTTTACATAACACCCCCCACCCCAAATCCGCACAAGCCTGCTGTGTCCCCCCCACTTCTGAAATCAAAATTTCGTCCCTGAATGGGACTTTAACCTTAAAAATGAAAATGTATTTTATGAATTATTTTTTGTAAGTCAGATTCATGAATGAAACCTGGGTCAATGTTTACATGAATGGTAACTGCTTTTTGTTAAATTTAGTGAGCCGATTTTGTTGTGTTTGGGTGTCTTTTGTTTTTACCTCTGCAACAAAAACATAAGAAACACTTTAAAAACCATTGACACTTTGAAAACAGTGATCCAGATCTTCAGTTGTTCATTTATTGGCTTGCTGACAGCATGTAAATCTTTTATATAATATTATTTTATTTAAAAAATAAAAGTGAAATGCCTGACTTGATGCTAAAAATGTGTGAAAGAAGAGAAACATGTTCATGTTTTAATTAGCAAATTTGGTTACACATAACATTCTGTGCACTTTTAGGTGCCTTGTAATGTAGGCTAGTGGTTCCCAACCGTTTTTGACTCGTGGACCCCAGAGCCGTTTTCACGTAACCCCTTAGTCAAACGTGTTGATGATTC